TCATTTAATAATCATTTAACAAAACATTTGCAATCTCATCGTTAAATATTAAAAAATAGGTCACTTATTCAGAATACATGAAAGTTAAATGTACGATTGTATATATATAGATGCATATAATATACATGTATATTTATTCGATTATAGATTCTTCATTACCCATTACATAGGCTCGCTACTATCGCCTTTTCTTCTGCGATTCTCGATTTCTTGATCAAGATATTATACTAGCGGTATATTAAAATTTTCAACATTTTTCGGTACTTTTTCACCGTCAATAGTGATTTTCTATAAAAAAGTAGATAAATAAAACAATTTTGTCTGTATTTCAAATAAATTTATTTTTGATTCAAAATACATATTCAAAAATAACGAATATCGATATTATTATTGATTTAATTAATATATTCAAAATTCTATTAATATGCAATAAAAAAATGTGAGTTTTAAAATTTAAATTATTTTTGATTTTAAAATATGTTTTAAAACATTATAAAAATATGTTTAATTAATGACAATGAACTACTGATTCAAATAATCTTTCGGAACCTTAACAGTGTAAAAATATCAATAATAATCTGTTATGCTATAAAATGAAAATCCAAATATATTTAAAACATTTTTTATTTTATTATTCAATATATGTATATATGTATTAAATTTAATTAGCTTAAAGATTAAATTAGATCGGATATTTTGATCGATAATTCTAAAGAGAATTGACAATATTCTGACCATTCGCAATGTTTTCTTGGTTGATGTGTAATTCTTCTCGCATTTTTCCTTTAATCTATCCAGTCTAAGAATCTGAAAATAACTGCGCGATGTCGCGTATATAGTATATATAATAACATATACTTATATATACATATATATATATATATATGCGTTCTCATGCATTTTTATTTGTCTATATTCATTTATCTACCCATCTATCTAAATATATGTACATATATGTATATGTATATTTATTCATATATTTATGATGGAAGACTTATTCATCTTTCACCATTTTTTCAGAACAACTTCAATATATTGAATGAGTAAAATGATAAAAATTAAACAAAAAATCAAAATAATTCTAATTTTATTTCCATAAATTCCATAATTAATTATTTGGTTTCACAAATGAAGCTACACGACCTCTATACAATTAACACGAGTTAAACTTGTCGACCTCGTCGAATCGTAAGTTTACATGTCACTGATCACGTACGCTTTGTCGATAACTGTTTTCTATTGTTTTTCTATATTAAATTCTTTTAATGTCAAGTCAATGAGAAAACATGTTTAACTATGTTAATATATAATGTAATATAACGTATCATTCTTATTTTTTATTTGTCTCAACTTTTTAAATGTTAATTATCTCAGTAAAATATATATACTTAAATATTACTTATATATATAAAGAAATAATTTTCATATTTATATTATAATTTTCATTTTATGTTTATTTTTCTTTTATGAAAATGATTATATTTTAACTAACTTGGTAATAATGATAATAACACGCTATTACAAATAAGATACTACTGCCATCTATAGTTAATACGACACATATACATAATATATAATACATAATATATATATATAAGAGCAAACAAAATTCGGGGAAACAAAATTTTTTATTATTCCTATTAAATATAAAATTTAAAACAAAACATACAAATATTTTTTATTTTCTAATATTTTCGTATATTAAAATATATCTTTCCAAAATCATTTTTAAATCATGTATAATTTCAATTGTAAAAAATATAATAAAAAAATAGTAAAAATATCAATTAATAAAAATTATTGATATAATTTTCGAAATAAAAGCATTAAAAATAAATTAACATAATTATATGCCAAAATTCAGATATTCAACCCTGACCAACTTTTGTGTCTTGAATCTGTTGATATTATATTCTTTCTCCATTCTCAAATTATTTTTTGTTACAATGTAATATGTAGTTGCTATAAAAACAAAAAAAAAAAGCAAAAAAATTTTTATAAACTGTATTGTGTTAAAAAAATAAAATAAGAATTTAATAAATAGAATATATAAAAAGAATTTAATAAAATTCAATAAAAAGAAGTATCGCATAAATAATTTTTTAAAAAATTGATCGATATATCGAAATCGAATAATAAGATTTTTATAAAAGAAATTTTTTTTAAAATATTTATTTCGTTTATATTGTATATAATATTTCAATTGATATTTTTAGTGAATATATATCATTTCAATATGCCCTTTAAGTGATTTTTTAATTGTTACGATTATTTTCACTAGTAGGTTTTATCGATAATTTTTGACTCATAGTTTTGTTCACTTGTATCTATCAGCTTTCAATGCATGAGGTTATATATAACCTTTTTAGAAATATATTTGTATTCTTATTATGTTTTTTCAAGTTTCAATAGTTATGATAATTAGTACAAATCATAATAAAAACGATATTTAATATTGTGTGATAATTTTGATATATTTTTCAATTTTAAAATATTAAAAAATATTAATATATTCAACATATTTAATAATAAGAAAAAATATCCTAAAAAAATATCTTAAATAATATTATTATATATTATCATGCAAACGTCAAATCTAAAATTTTACTTATTTCAATTATGTAATTATAATATGTGTTATAATTTAGGATTACAGCAATTTAAAAAAACGATTTTGTATAGAAATATTGGATCTAAAGTGAATCCAAAAGTTTTATCTCTTCGAAATAAATTGTTGTATTGCGATTATTTAGATTATGGAGAAATAGGATATGCAAAACATAAAAAAATAGAAAAACAAAGAATAGAACAAGAAGAAAAGAAGAGATTCGAAATGAGTGAGAAAAAAACATATAGTATTATGCTAAATGAATGGTTAAAGGATAAAAAAGAGACCAATATTCTCAAAGAAGAAAAAAATGAAGAAAAGATTGATAAATGTGAAAATGAAACTGTGAAAAAACAAAAACCTATATATATGCCATATGCGGCAGTAGACTCATATGAAATAACTGATACAAAAATGTTAGATGATAATAATACAGAAAAAACAAATATAAATTTACCAAATGAAAAGTACAAAGAATTGTTTGAAAAATATTTGCAAATAAAGCAGAATACTTTGAATAACGATAAAAATATTCCTATGTTTGAAAATGTAGAAAAAAACAATAAGATACCAAAAGGAGAATTATGGAAAATTCCATCTACTTGGATGACTGATTATGAACAGTTTGATGATGCTTTACTTAACGAATGTTGGTATAATTATTATGGTACACCAAATCCTGATTCAGAAGTCAGTTCTATACCATGTGGTGGTTGCGGTGCTTTATTGCATTGCAAAGATCCAGAAATTCCTGGATATTTACCATTAGAATTATTTTCAAAGAATGATAATGAAGATTTGAAATCAACAATATGTCAAAGATGTCATTTTTTGAAGTTTTACAATGCAGCTTTGGAAGTGAAAGTATCAATTGAAGATTATCCTAACTTACTGAAAGTGATTAAAACTAAAAAATGCGCCATTATTCTTATAATCGATCTGACTGATTTCCCTTGCAGCATTTGGCCTGATTTAAAAAGTATTATGCATCCTTTTACTCCTATTTTTCTTGTTGGAAATAAAATTGATTTATTGCCTAGGGATTCTCCAAAGTTTCTTGAGAACATTAAGCAACTCTTAGCAAATACAGTAGTTCATGTAACTGGTGTGAAAAAAGAAAACATTACACACATCCAACTCATATCTGCGAAAACTGGATATGGTATAGAAGAATTAATAAATAAGTTGCAGTACAAATGGCGATATAAAGGTATCTGTTAATTTGTAAGAAAAAATTTTCGATCATATTTTTTATTTATTTTTTTATTTTTTTATATTTTTCTATACACTTCATAATCATTCATGTTTCAGGTGATGTATATTTAGTTGGCTGTACAAATGTTGGAAAGTCTTCTTTGTTCAATACGTTATTAAATTCCGATTATTGTAAAGTAAAAGCTATCGATCTCGTACAATGCGCTACAATATCTGCTTGGCCAGGAACTACATTAAACTTACTCAAATTTCCAATTTTAAATCCGAATGGAAAAAAATATATGTTAAGAGTAGAAAGGCTTATAAAGGAAAAATTTTATAAGATACAAGAATCGAAATATAGGGATTATAAATTTAAAGAAACAGGAAATATGAAGTTTGCAACATTAGAAGGTAATTAAAAAATTTTAAATCTTTTTATTAATTTTTATTAATTTATAAATCGAATATTCATTTAAATGTGACTTTTATTATGGGATTTATAGACGATGTTGGTAAATCGTTTTCCAAGTATTCAAAAAAAAACGAGAGTATCGATCCTTTTTTAGAAAAATCGCATAAATTCATGACGAAAAAGATTTTTTTAAATGAATCCGAATCAGAGTACGAACATAGTCGTTGGTGTTATGATACTCCGGGTACTATTCAGAAAGATCAAATACTGGATTTATTAACTACTGATGAATTATTGTTAACATTACCGCAGGAAATTATTACACCAAGAACATTTGTGTTTAAACCAAAACAAACTGTATTTGTAGCTGGTATGGGAAGATTAGATTATCTTGAAGGAGAATATTTTATACGGTATACATATATATATAATTTTTATTTTTTATTGCATTTTGAAAAATAGTTGTTATGCAGCTAGAGAATTATTAAATCAAATTAAAAAAATTAAATTTTCTTATATATTTTTTATCGAAAAATAGATGCACTTTGTTTGCAAGTAAGAAATTACCTATAACAATATGTTATACTTTTGATGCAGAGGAGGTATATGATCAATTGTTAGAAACTGAAGCTTTCGTCGTACCTACAAACGATCAAAAACGATTAAAAATATGGCCGAAATTGAAATCAAAGGAGATAAAAGTAACTGGCGTGAAAAATGAATCTGCTGGAGATATTGTATTGTCAAGTATAGGTAAATCTATATAATAAACAATAATTGAAATGATTTTAATATAATTTGATTTAATCAATCGACAGGTTGGATCGCAATTACACCATTTGAAAACAACAATGTCTCATTAAGAGCATGGACACCAGAAGGTCGTGGAATATATTTCAGGTGTCCAGCATTGCTAAGCAAATCAGTGTGTCTTCGCGGTTCGAGAATTCAAGGTACTCCATTGCATTCATTAGGACGAAAAGTATACATTAAATAATAAATTAAGTTTCGAACTTTATCTTGGTATTAATCAAATTATTAATATTACTTTATATTTAATCGATTTAAAATCGCATTTATCTTTCGTCTACCGAATAATTGAAAGAAAAGTATATAATTCTTATAATATAAGATTTTTCAAATTTTAAAATCCGAATAAAATGTTATTGCATACAATAAAATGTTATTTTTGTGTATTTTTTCTTTCTTGATGATTTCATTTTATTATAAAAAATGATTAATGAGCAATGGAACCTATACATTTGATTTGGAATCCTTTGCCGAAAATGTCAGGCCTGGTACTCTGCAAAAATAAAAACGAAAACAAGAACAAAAGAAAGAAAAAAAGAAAAAGAGAAATAAACTGATCGAATCATTTAAAAAATAATTGCATCATGTACGATAAACTTACGTAGAAATAGGTTCTTGCGACAACTGACCATTCGGTAAACAATGACATCCATAATGCTGGTAATTACACAAATTTATTGGAATCGACTTATCGGGAGAAGTACCGTCACATTCACTGGAAAAATAACATTTATACTTCAAACAGACAGGGCAGCTATCAAAGATATGCAGGTTGCCACAAATAAAAGGTATTTCATGTGATGGCAATGCATCATTTGCGTCAACATGGATGGCAAGATTCTTTTGGCTTTTTAATTTCTGTTTCAATGGATGGTAACATTGACTAGTTCGATATGGTTCAATCTGATATGGGCACATTATATCGTTGCATGATTTGCATCGGTACCGTGCACTGTGAAAGTATGCCATATTTACATTTGATATTTGTTAATGAAGTTCAAATAATATAATTTTATCTATATTCGTTTATTAATAAATATTATACATAATAATAATAATAATAATAATAAATTGATAATACTTACGGGTAACAAACTTGATTTTTCGATTTTGCTCGACTATGACAAACTTTTCTTTGCCTGATAATACCTTTGACAGCTCGTTTTTTATGGGTGTAAGATTTTTGCTAAAATCATGTTTATTGAATCGATTGGTTGATGATTGACGCATTAGATAATAAAAATAAAGGGAATAATAATATTTATCATTCCTTATATATTTTACCTTAGAATCGATTGTTTTTGGATTGAATACACAAGATTGATCAATATTTGCATGGTAAATCGTTTTTACTTCTTCTATGACTGTTTTTGTCGAAATCTCGATTTTAGGTGCTATAATACCCTGTATAAATAAAATCAAAAAAATATTTTATTTTTAATTGAACTTGTATAAAGGAAGAAATAAAAATGATACTAACAGGAAAATATTTGGTGGGATCCATAAGTAGATCAATGTCGACTCCAGGTAGTAAATGTTTGCAATGAGCTACGGGATAGAGAAGATCAGCTAAACTAGTATGAAAGGTGGCCAAGATGATGGGTTGGTTACACGGGTTAAGCCATTGTATCAATTCCGCATAGAAAGGCTGTTTCTCCAGAATCCGTTGCAACTCTGTCAAAGCAGCCAGCCGTGTGAAAGTTTTCTTAAAGTTAAACTCGTTGTGAAATAATAGTGGAAAAATCGGTGATACTCTGTGAGATTCTAGGATGGAACCAAGACTGGTTATTCGCAGCGCTATTTTCCCATTAGGACACAACCATACACCCGGACACGTTATCTAAAAGAGGTTATTTCGCATAAGTTTAATATTGAATATTAAATGATTGTTGAAATTCAATTGTGATACTTACGGCGTGTAATTCAAGTTTTATTTTTACGCAGAAACCTTTCCCCGCCATGATCGTTTCGTTCAACCAACAGGTATCAGGTATCAAAATATCATTTTTTATCTCAAAATCATTTTCTTCGGTTAAACTAATAAACGTTCACGATCAAAGAGGGGGCCTGTGAGGTTGATCGGCGGTGTTGTCCAATTGCTCAAAAAAATCGCGCGATCACCCTCCAAATGGCGTTTCTTCCAAAAAACGTTTCCTCGAGCAAGGAAACGATATATACGGAAAATTGGTTGGCCTATAGCATGTTGAAGCGGGATCTGTGTTGTTCGTTTGTTGCCAGGAAACGAGATGGACATAACATCGATATTGAATTTTATCGACGATCGTTAGTATCATACGGCATGCTTTAAACTTTGAATGGTATTCCGACAAATTTTTCGATCGGTAAACCTCTTTGTATGTGACGTATTTTAAGCTCATTAGATATGAAATCTGTTTGCCTTTTAGGGAAGCATAATCTTGGATCTTTCGTTCGAGGTATCAAAAGTTCGGAAAACCAACCGTACCTATAAAATTTGAATCACGAAAAGATTATTTTATAAGAGATACGTGTATTTGTTTTCGATGTACTTATATTGCGTACTCCATATTCACTGTCGGTGGCTTGAACGTATAAATATCCTTTGGGGTAAGAAGTAGTCGTTTCGAAATCAAATCGATATATTCTTGTCGGATCTCGCATTCTGGAATCACGTCATGTTTCGCGTAAAATTTACCGGTTAATGGTTTTGTTCGCGCGATAGCTACAAATTTTTCATGCAATCGAAAATATTTTTTTTCTTTCTCAAATCTTTCGTTATAAAATCGCAATTTCATAGGATTGATCATGTTGCCCTTTATCACGATTTCAAGTGCCACTAGAATTTACTTACTGGAATTATTACTGGAAACTAGATTGAAATGTCACGTAGAAAAAAAAAAAACATCAATTTTTAACAATGGGCAGGCGAACGATACTTGTTCGATTAGCGTACTTTATTTTAAAATATGAATAGAAAACGCATACATAGTAAGCGGAAGACCGTGTCTAATCAGTCAAAGATTTACAGGAAATATTTAAAAACTTTCAACAAAATATTCGAAGAAAAATGAATAGAAATGAAAATATAGAAGAGATTCACACGAAAATATGACAAAGCGATAAAACTCAGAGGCGCTGTGCTCGAAACATTTTTAGAAATATATAACGAATAATATTAAATATATATAATAAAATCGAATCGAAAATGTAGATACAAATTCAAATATTTCACATAACAAATTCGCTATTCGTACAGAGTTTCATTTTCATAATATTTCAATTGTTAATAAAATACTCTTACTATAATATTTATTATCGTAAATTAATATCTGGTGTCAAGTTGCAATTTTTAATTCAAATACAGCAGCTAAAATCACTCCTACAACATATGTAATTTTTAAGGAAATAAAAAAGAAAAGTAAAAAGAGAAAGAAAAAAAGAAAGAAAAAAACGATCATTTGATTATATATACGTTTTGCTATTAACACGCAAGCTGAGACGCAGAAAAAAAAAAGAAATACAGTTTACGTCGCAGCAACACTTTCAAGGCACACTTTTATGTAATATAGTCAAAAAATAATAGTAATTGATGATCTTAAATGATGATGATCATAATAATAATTAATTAATAAAGATAGCTATGATGATTATGATGGAGATAATGATGATAATTGATGATGATAAATAATAATAATAATAGAAAACAATTAATACAATGTACGTATTTTTAAATTTAAAAAAAAAAAAAATTCTTAAATATGAGATAATGGATGAGATAGCTGCGATAATGAATATTTTTTTGTGGCATAATAATAATTGTGCCACAAACATTCGGCAATCGAAAAAATTTTGCCGGTCTTGAAAAAAATCAATTGAGTGAGATAAATATTCTCTTTGGTACAATCAAATAATTTCAATGTTATCCAAAATCTCAAATTAAATTAAATTAATAGACTAGAAGAAAATTAGTAATCGATAATCGAAAGACGATAGTGTGTTTGTCCTTGTAACATATATAGGAACGTTATTTCGCTATAGTTTGGAAATTCGTTTATAAAAAAACGAAAAATTACTATAAAAGTTTTACAACGAAGTGGTGATCATATACGACGAATAATAATGAATATCGTATTCACATGAATCCGAGAAATCGGCGTCGTATATCGAAGAAAAATTGCAAAGTGATTATAAAGTATTATCATGTAATCAAAATTAACTGTGGTCGTTGGCGCAATTTGTCATCTGTTCTGTACACGTTGAATGGAGACATTTCACTTCGGGCGTGCATTCATTTTTACTCCTGAAAAATTAAAACGAATTCGATATTAAATTCATTCATGAAAAATTTAGAGAGGAAAATGAAGTGGAACATTTAATTATGATATCGATATGTTATTATCTTATTGATGTTATTTAACGATATATCGATAATATTGTAAAAATTATTATAAAAGCAAATAAAAGTTTAAAAAAAAATTCTCAATAAAAGAATTTTTATTTTCGATTCGAAAAAATGCATTATTATATATTATTATGATAAAAAGAA